AATGAGGTACTACAGCTACCCACCCATCTCCCTATCCCAAAGTTCCCTCCCAAGAGCATGCTGGGAATAGTAGTTTTTCTTTTGAGTTTTTAAGAATTTTGTAATTTCATTCATGTGTAATGTACTTTGATAATATTCCCGCACTACCTTCTATTACTCCCTTCTTTCCCAACTTCCTACTTTCATGTCGTTCGTTCTTTTTTTCTTTCTTTCCTTCTTTTCCTTTTTCTTTTTCTTTTTCTCTCTCCCCAACCCCGCCCAGAGACAGGATTTCTCTTTATCTCTGGCTGTCCTCTGTAAACCAGGCTGGCGTCAGATTCATGGAGCTCCACCTGCCTCTGCCTCCCGCGTGGTGGGTTTAAAAGCGAGCACCACCACCACCCAGCAAGAATAGTAGTTTAAATAAGGAAACACTTGGACCTAAAAATGTACTTGTCTTTCCATGCTCATGCACTGCTCTATTTAAAATAGTTGAGGTTAGGGATGTAGCTCTGGCACAATCTTTCTCATACATATAAATAAAATACATATATACATAAAATAAAATTAAGAACCGGCCAGACACAGTGATTCCACTGAAGTGTATTGCTATGGATTTGAGGCTCTCCTAAGTTATATGGTGACTCTCTGGCTGGCCTGATCTATAGACTCAGACTTTGTCTCAAAAATCTCAAAAAAGAGCACTAGGGAGATAGGTCAAGGAATAAAGACACCTACTGCCAGACCTGACGGTCCGAGTTCAGTCTTCAGAAGTCATGGAGGAAGGAGAGAACCAACTTCCTCCATTGTCCTCTGATTTCACACACACACACACACACACACACACACACACACACACCAGTCCAGTTTGTATTCTCATTTAATACCTTAAAACCACAGGCGGGGCAGACAAGCGACATATTGTGTGGCCTTTGGGAGGGCAGCAACCATCGTTTCAGCTATTTCTCCAGGGCGCTCCGTTCCAGATTGCAAGCGAAGTCGCGCTCGGCAGATAGGCAGGACGAGCAGCGCTTTGCGCAGACCACTAAATAAACTGATCAGTCGGTTAATTGGTCTTTTTTTTTCTTTTAAAGGAAGATCAAGAATATGGCAGTTTGGGTAAACAACCCGATTTTATTTTTTTTAAAGGTTTATTTATTTATTATGTATACAGTGCTCTGCCTGCATGTGTGCTGGCAGGTCAGATGAGGGCATCAGATTTCACTGTAGATGGTTGTGAGCCACCATGTGGTTGCTGGGAATTGAACTCGGGACCTTTGGAAGAACAGGCAGTGCTCTTAACCACTAAGCCATCTCTCCAGCCCCTTAATTGGTCTTTTCTATCTTTTTCTACTTCATACTATTCTACTTATTCATACTTATTCTACTTCATACTCTCTTTACCCTCATAAGACTCACCTGTCAATCCTTAAGAAATGGGTGGCTGTTCCTGGTCTGTCACTTTCATTCTAGTTCTGATGAACCTGAAAAGAATGTTTAAGATGCATGGTCCTAATAAAAGTCCTAGTTATCATCATAAGAGGTCCCATAGTGGAGCCAGCCAGGATCCCCCTGTTGTCCGTATTCTGTATAGGCAGGAAAGGAGTCTACCCAGCCTCAGAATGTACAAACCATAAGCAGCAACCATTGGTGCTTTCTGCTGGGTTCAATGTCAGTAAAGATCACTTCTAGATGTTTAAATGGTAGGCCCCTAGTTTTTGTGTTAGGATGGGGCCCTGGGGCCCTGCTTGGGATTATCCTGAGCACATTGCAGATAGTCCTTGTTGGCTTATTGGGTCAGTGTTGGTAACATCAGAACCACCAAAATATATTTGCAACATTTCTTTTTGTTGTCGTTTGTTTTCAAGACCGCCCTAGTTGTTCCAGCTCTCTCTGTAGGTTATGCTGGCCTCCCAAGTTCTGGGCTCAAAGGTGGCACCACAACCGGCCTCTTGCAACAGTTCTGATAGGGCAGTTTTTCCCAGAGGGGTTGCTGTGTGAGCTTGCCAGACTAGGTTGGGAGCTGGGGTCTCTGGTTATTATTTCTCTATCTGTGGCATTCAGCCAGCCCTCCTGATTTTTAGTAGCTCTATTATCAGTTTTTATACATTTAAACGTATTTTATTTATTTATTTATTTATTTACTTATGTGTGTGGGGGGGGGTGCATGGGCATGCCACAGGGTTTGTGTGGAGGCCAGAAAACAACCTACAAGTGTTGATTCTCTTTTCCCTCTGGTTGGTCCTGGGAACTGGACTCAGGTTATCAGGCTTGATGGTAGGGTCTTCACTTCTTTGTGTGAGCCTAGTAGTGTATCACTGCCATAGCCAGGGGAGCCCAGACAGCTTCCAGGAGTTGGAGAATTTGGACTCTGTGTTTAACTTCTTTATCCTCTGAGGTAAGCAGTCTCCTTTCTTGATATATTGTTGGTTTGAGTTTTCCCCTGTCGGAGGCTTCAGCTCTCCTCAGTAAAAGGCTCCATATTCCATATCTGTATTGCGGAGCCACTAAGTCCTTTAAGAATGGCCACGCGTGTGCTGCAGCTCTGAGGGGAATGGTATCCTGGTAGTTGGGAGCCAAGGAATATCAAGTCCTTGCAAGAGCTTTATTGTGGAAGACCCAAAGGGTGAAGGGAAGCAGCAGGGAGCTGAGCAGGAGACAGGCTTATATAGGGCTTCCTGGGGGCAGAGTTTTCCAGGGTGGAGATTTCCGGGGTGAGGATTGGTAGGATTTCAAGTCCTGAGCTTGGGCCAGGATTGGTGAGCTTTTGAGCTCATGAATTGGTGGATTTTCAAGACCAGGGATTGGTGGGTTTTCGAACTCAGAAGTGAGTTCATACTTTTCTCCTTCCAGTGAGGAGACGCTCCAACAGGTATTTCCTCGGCCAAATGTCATGTTCTTCATAATTATCTTCTGGGAAAAGGCTCAACTGGTAACATATAAAAAGCAGCTCTTTGCCCAGTAAGAAAAGAGCAAATATTACAGATTGGTATCTATGCAGTATGTATCTTATAATCAGAGTGGTAATAGTATAGTATGGCTGAGAATAAAGAGTCAACACTTTGCTTCTCAAGTGAGTTGAGTCTTTTGCCGTTCTTCAGTCCTGTGTCCCTGGCCTCCTCCACCCCGATCTTTCACGGGAAATTGATGACTTCACAGCTAAAACAGCCTTCCTTCTATCTGTGCAAATTGACACCTGTCTAGTGTAACCAGAGGGAACTTTCTTGCATGGATAGACAAGAGTCCTGAGTTTTCCCTGGTGGATCAACTACAGGGCTCGTAAGATTAACTCTGCCAGGAACTGACAGTACCTGGTCACCTAAAGAACATACTGGCGGTAGACTTTCCTCTGTTTTAACTTTGGCTAAGTGTCCTGAGAGAAACTGGGTAGAATGAGTTGACATTACAGTGCATGCCCTCAATAAAAGTGGCTGATATGTGAGGGCTGGAGAGATGGCTCAGAAATTAAGAGCCCGGACTACTCTTCCAGAGGACCTGAGTTCAATTCCCAGCAACCACATGGTGGCTCACAACCATCTGTAGTAAGATCTGTTGCCTTCTTCTGGAATGTAGGCATAGGTGCCAGCAGCAATACATGTATGCATAATAAATAAATTTTATTTTATACATCCCGGCTTAACCGTACCCTTTTCCCTGGGATGGAACATAGAGACCCCACAGGAGTAAATTTATGCTAGCCTTGTTATGGGGTAAGGAAGCATGGGGACTCCCAACAGTACAGGCTGGCATATAGGAACCTCCTCATTAGCAGGGATGGTGAATTACTCCTCACGTCTCACATGGCAGGGTAATAGAGGCTCACCTCCCCCATCCATGTCTCAAGCAACAGAGGAGATGTTGCGGTCACTCAATACTCACTGTGTCCTGAGCTGACAGTGGTGCTGTGGACACGACCGCTTCCCTCAAGTCACCAGCTGGCTGGTACAGGACCCTCGCATTGGTCCAACTGCCCATGCCCTTTACCCTGGCCTTTGGCCTTTAGTTCTCCTCTTAGCAAAACTAATCCCAAGGCTGAGAGGCCCTTACCCGGTCCTCTGGTATCCACCCTGACACTATAGGAGTCTCAGGGAGTTGCAAATGAATTTAAGGCTGAAAATCAAATAGACAGACTTTCCTCTGGTGGTCAACAGGAGACAAGAATGTAAAACAACCAACAAAAGATGTACCAAGTGTACCAGGGATGGCCTTTAATAAATATCTAGCCAGCAGAATGCCGACAACAGAATGGCTTGAGAGAACAGAATCACACTTTGTATGAGGCTAACAAAAAAAAAGACAAGTGCCACACCCAAAGAGACAGAAGTAGACGACCGTCATCAGGGGCTGTAGCTTAGAAATGGCCTAGAAACTGACAGTCGTGGTGTTTACACAGTGATATAAAGATGCTTTATGCCAGTGAACCGGACACTTCAAAATGGCTAAAATGGGAAACCATTTAAATATATACATGCACACATGTGTATGCACACACACATGCTTAGCACACACCTAAAGACCATTAACAGAAAAATCATGTTCAAGGACACACTGTACATGTCAGTCTCAGGATAGAAACAGCCTAGGTCCTAGTTGGACCTTCACGCCATGGGTTTTACATCTGTGGATGGAACAAACGGTGAATTAAAAGTATTCAGAAACAAGATATGTCCTCAGTGAAATACGGGCGGTTCCTTCTCCTGTCACTCTTCCTCGCTTTGTGTGGATGAAGTTGGCGTGGGCGTCAGAAATGATTTGAGCCTGTGGGAGGCTACGTCTGCTTCTGTGCAGACACTGCAGCACTTTTAACAGAAGTTTGGGGGCCCTTAATTAATCCCCTTTGAAGTTTTGCTTACTATATTGATTTTTTTTTTTTTGAGACTGGGTTTGTCTTTGTAGCCTCGCTGGTTCAAATGCACATTCCTCCTGACTCTGTTTAATCCGGGACTACAGATCTGTGTCGCCATGCTGGCTGTCTTACTGTCTTCACTGATTTCCCCCTAGAACGCATGTCCATTTTCCATATCATTGACAAAGAACTCTCCCCTCCACCCCCACTGTGGTGCCTGGAGAGAGGATAGGTCACTCGCTGGTCACAGACATTTGGACTGGGGGACTCGTCTTAGAACTGTACCCGTTGGAGACTTCACACTGATACTCCCCAGCGTCCTCCATCCTGACCGGATCTATTACAAGTTGACTGTTTTTCTGGGACAGCGTCATTCTGCCGTTGAAATACAGGCTCTGGCGATTGAAGAGCCAGCGGATGGAGAGTCCAGGATTTTCTGGGAGGCAGGTGAGGGTCACAGAACCATCTTCTGTTATTGTGGTGTTGTCTGCTTGGAGGGTGGGCTGTGCCACAGGCTCTGTGAAGGAACAGAGGAAAGGACAGAATGATGGAGGTTCATCCTCAGAGCCCAGTCAGACCTCTCTGGTCCATGGACACCCGGTAAGGCATCCAGGGTGGAGAAGTTGGGCCCGAGGCTGTAGACAGACATGTACTGCTTCAGATCTGCCTCCCACAGTCTGCGTGGCCCTAATTCCATCACTGTGTTTCCTGTATGTATGTCTGTTTCCACATAATAGGGCACATGGCTTGGTAGAGTTAGCACACGCCTTTAATCCCAGCACTAGTGAGGCAGAGGCAGGCAGAGCTCTGTGAGTTCGAGGCCAGCCTGGTGAGTTCTAGGATAGTCAGGTCTGCACTAAGAAGCCCTGTCTTAAAAAACCATAATAATAATAATGATAATGATAATAATAATGATAATGATAATGCACATGACAAATGATCGCTGCCATGTCTGTAAGGTGACATATTTAAGGTGACTTAAATATGAACTAGGACCTGATCTTCAGGGGTGGGAGCTTCCCAAACACCCGAGTCTGTTACTCTGCCTACAGGAGAGAGTCAACTGGGCTGAACAGTTGCCAGAAGGACATGCGTCCCCATGAACCCCTCAGAACAGCAGGATTCTCCATGCTGAGACTCGGAAGATGTCCAGGTGACCTAAGTGTGACCCTCCATTCAGTGCACGGCTGGTCCCACTTGATATGAGACAGTCAATAAAGCCTTGTTCCCTGTCGTCTCTAACAAGAAGTCAAAGTCCAGTCCTGGAGGAAAAATCCCTGGGTCCCCTGGAGACGAGTCTGGCACAAAGATCTGTAGTCAGGACTTTCTTGTGGTCACCTCATTGTGAGAACCCCATGGTTTCCTCTGTCAGGCCCTTCCTGAATCCAGACCATCTTTTTCAGGGCCATGGCCATGGTGAATTCAGTTCCAAGAGTTTGGGCTAAGGGTGACATCCTCAGACTGAGTTACATAGCACACGCCCTGCTCTCTGGAGGCAGAGTCAGGTAAAGAACTCTGACCTAGTGTTGTTTTTCCTCCCCAATATGTGTCCTGTACTAAATGCTCAAACGCCAGTGAGGAAACCCACGCAGAAGATGGGCATTGTCAATGCCTGATGGTCCTGTGTGTTTAAATGGGATGAGCCCCACCCCGGCACCCAGAGGTCACATGATCACTTACGGTATACTTCCAGATGTACGTGTGTGAGTTCACTTTGCATTTCTGTGTTGAACGTTAGTAAGGTGTAGAATCCACTGTCAGCCTGGGTGACGTTTCTGATCAGCAGGGATCCACTGTAGAATACCGTTCTCCTACCGCTGTGTTGAGGCATCTTCGACGTTGTGTTATCGGGTGTTAAGTAGCGTGCAACTTCGTAGCTCTTGGTCGAATCTTTCTGTTTGTACCAGTAAAATGCCTGGACGTTCAGCGGCATTTTATGCACAAATAGGACGGAGTTTCCACCTTCAGCAACCATGGGGGGCACTAATTCAATAGTGAGTTCGGCAGTGGTGGGTGCATTCCAGCAGGTTAAGAGGAAGGCTAGGGAGAAAGAGAAATATCCATCAATATGGGGACCTTAGTGTTTGGTGGAAAGATGAACCCCAACTCCTGAGTAGGAGTGTTCATCTCTCAGCCTAGGTGTGTGATGGGGGCGTGCCTCTCCCACTCGGTGCAGGGGTTGTGCCTCTCCCACTCGGTGCAGGGGCTGTGCCTCTCCCACTCGGTGCAGGGGCTGTGCCTCTCCCACTCGGTGCAGGAGAACTTCATCACCTACATTCCCCAGCTCCCTGAAGTTGCTGGGTCCTCTGCATGGAACTCTGTCCTTGAGTCTCTGCATGGCTCCCCGCTTACTGCCCTCATCTCTCTGCTCACAGCCAAGAGTATATATGGGGTTGGGTATGCCTCCCCTGACCTCCTCCTCTAGAGACCCTGGGTCATCACTACCTGAGAGTTGGTGGTTTGTTCCCTGGGTTTGCAGTCACCCGGTCTGCACCTTCCATGAGAACTAGGGCTTTGTGAGGGCAGGGGCTAGGGAATGGCCTTTGGGAAGGCCATGTGCCTGGGAAAGACTCAAACTTCTGTGGAAGAATGAATGAATGAATGAATGAGCAGGACTGGGGGTGTCCAGGGATTATTATGAAATTTTTAGTTTTAGAGCTAATGACAGTGTTTAATATCCCAGTTTGACTTAAACTGGTTTTTGGTAAATTTATTTGGGACATGTGTCTATGTGTGTAAGTATCTGTGTCCGTGTTTCTCTCTGTGTATCTCTCTGTGTGTGTGTCTCTTTATCATTGTGATAAAATTTCACAAAGCCTAATTAAAATGCAAGATCAGATCAATTCCTTCCCAGACAGCATCCTAAAGACAGGAGAGGCTAAGATTTCATGGTGACAGAAAAAGAAGTTTGCCTTTCTCTAAAGCAGTGGTTCTCAACCTTCCTAATGCTGCGACCCTTTAATACAGTTCCTCATGTTGTAGTGATCCCCAACCATAAAGGCATTTTCCTTGCTACCTCATAACTATAATTTTGCTACTGTTATGAATCACAGTGTAAATATCTGATATGCAGGTTACTGCTCTGAGATCCCTGGGAAAGGAAGCCGTACAGGGGTTGCAACCCACAGCCTGAGAACCACTGCTCTGGAGGAAGATCGATAGATGCTACACGCAACCACTGGGGCCTGGCCAGAGAAGGAGCAAAGAGGCCAGCGTGCGCTGCTTCCAAACTCAGGCAGAAGCCCTCAAGCAGAGGCTCCGACAGCATCAAAATTCCACACGGTTCCTGGCAAACACCAGTACGACTCCTCTAATAACCACCCCAATGCTCATATCCCTGGGTTCCCTCCTTAATGCAGACTTGAATCAGTTCATCTATAATACAGTCCAACAGGCTGCTCAGATGCGTGGACAGCACCCTCCTGACTTAAGAACGCCTGTGAGAGCCGTGACTCAACAACTGACGATCCACTGAGGGTTGAGGAATGAAGGGAAAGAGGATGATCTTTCTTCATCCGTATCCAGCTCGTAGAAGCCAGATGAGTGAGTATCTATGAACCATCTTTCCGACAATGTACACTCCCCCTCCCCCTCTGTATGTGTGTGTGTGTGAACAAAGAGGCTGGAATGTCAGTTTTGAGTTAGTAGTTAAACAGAACACATTTCCCTGGCGTTTTACAAATGTTAGCAGGCATGGACCTGGGATCGAGTCTGTCACACAACCCTGGGCTTCTGAATTTCTGGAAAATTTAAATTCCCTTTCAAGTAATTCTGGGCACCCCGGAAGCTGTATGGAGAAGGAAAAGGCCTGTCTCATTTTGTAAGACTATCTGCTTCATAGGTGTCCTGATTTCCTGAGTGACAGGCACCTAGGAACATGGGTTAGGGCACATCCTCTGCTCACCCAGGGAAAGCACCTACCATACCTTTCCTTGACCCCACCCTCACTCCTCACTTCCCCACAGTGACAATCCCCTCTCACCTTTCCAATGTCCATAGAGCATCCTCCCGCATCTTTCCCAGCTTGCAGAACTCCTCTACCACACCACACAACACCACCCCACCCCACACCATCCCATCCCATCCCACACCACACCACACCACACCACACCACACCATAGCTCCCCACCCCACACTACACCACACCACAGCACAGCACCCCACCCCACCCCATCCCATCCCACACCACACCACGCCACACTGGTCTTCTCTAGCATTGCATAAAACCTGTGGTTTCAAAAAGAAATCTTTGTCTGTTCCTGTGCTGCATCTCAAGCTCTCAGCTCTCTCTTCCTTGAAGAGAATCTCTCCAGAGCTGTCTCCTTCCCAGGCCCAACATTTCCTCCCTGCCCACAATGCCAGCTCCTTCTCCTCACACAGAGGAGACTTCCGTGCCCTCTGTGGAGTCCCAGCCCCTCCTCCGTCATCCTTCCACCTCATTGCCTGTTCCACCACTTCTGTGTTAAAAGCCCCACCTGCCTAGGTCTCCTCCAGCACAACCCTGTCCCCTGCACTCCCTTCCACAATGTGCTGCTCCCTGGAAACTCCAAGCACACCCCACAGCACAGCATCAAGGCCCTGACCCCCATTTCAGAGCCTCTGATGGGTCACAAACACAAGAGCCTGGTCCTGACCCAGGACATTGGTGGTCCTCTTATGTGCCCCTCGCTGGTAAATCCCTAGTGGGAAGAACATCCCCACGACCACGGCCTCCCCTGTCAGGATCCCTGTGACTAACTTTGTATAAAGAGTTACCTGGCTTTTCCTCTCCTCTGTACACTCCCTGTTCCCTGAGAGCCTCCAGCTGAGCAACCTCTGTTCCCCCCTGTCCCCTCCTTGTGTCCTCTCCCCTCAGGCTGAGGCAGAAAGAGAGCCCCGTCCCAGGGCACCCTTTTCAGAGAGCCCTCCCCACACCACTGCAGGACTGGTCTCACCTGTGAGCAGGAGCCCTTTGCAGAGAAGCAGAGAAGGCGTCTCCATGGTCTCTGGTCCCCAGTGGGCTGTCCTGGTGTCAGGCCTGCTGGTGTCCTTCTCTCTTATTTCTACTGTCCTTAGCCCCAGGGGCATTTCCGGGAGTCATAACTGGATGTGGGCAGGGTCTCTGCCCAAGGCCACGGTCTGTGTCAACTCTTCTTGCCTGGACTTCCTGCTTTCTCCTCCCCCCACCCCACCTGTCTCAAAGATCCATCCTTTAAGATTTATTTGTTTGCTTTTTTAACACAGGGCCTCATTATGTAGTCCTGGCTGTCCTGGAACTCACTGTAGACCAGGTTGACCGCAGACTCACAGAGAATGCTGGGGTCGGACCCAGGACATACTAGGCAAGCCCTCTCTGCCTGCTGAACAGCATCATTAGCTCAGTGTAGACTTATAAAGACCCAGGCACCGCCAGCCACCCAGGGAACTCAAAGACTTTTGGAAACCTTCCACAAGAAGAAGACCCACATCCTCTTTCTAGGACACAGGTCACTTCCTCCCACATACACAGAATGTCCCACTCCTGACACACCTGCTCCTGAGTACCTGTCCTGGAGCTGAACTCTGATCTGTGACACCAGTGATCATAGATAAGGTCCCTTACATAGTCATCATCCACTTAGTCCCTTCCTAGCTCCGGGAGACATCCGTCACCTGCGTACTGGGTGTAAATCCTACCTTCAGGGCAGCCCGGATGAACAGGGATTCTTATGTCATAAAGATCACATAGAGAGGCCAGTGATTTCCTGCGGTTCTGGCAGACCAAGGCCGGGACTCAGCAGAGGTCATCTCTGGGGTGACTGCCGCTCTCTCAGGGCACAGACTCTTCTCAGCCTTGCTCCTCACTGTGTGGTGTGGAGACTGAAACACAGAGGGGGAGAAGGGGACAGGGATGGGAGGCAGCTCTGAGAGTGGAGGGGACAGGGCAGTGTCGTGGACACAGACACACCCACAGTCTGTAATTCTGAAAGGTGCTCCTGCCTGGGAGGAGGCTGAGCTCAGAGACAGGAAGACGGCAGAGGTGAGAGCAGAGCATGGAGCTGGGGAGCAGGGCTGAAGCTGTTCTCCACAAAGGGAGGATTGAGGAGGAGGCAGAGATCATGAATCCCCCTCTCTTCCTCCTTCCCTCTCTCCCAGCCAATGGCACCCTAAAGGCAGGGACTTCTGTTCACAGTGCAGTAATGAAAGGAACAGGGGTGGGAGATCCCCCAGGAAGCCAAAACAACTCCCTTCAGCAGGGCTTGTATGGCAAAGGTGTTCAGCGGGAACCTCCAGCTCACCCCTGCATGATCCTAAAGCCCCATTCCTGTCTCTCCAAACCCTGCCCCCTCAGAGAATCATCCATAAAGAAAAGGCCCCAAAGAGTTCAGTTCCACATTCTTGGCCATTACAGCAATTCTTCCCCTGAAGTAGCCAGTAGCCCAAGTCTCCACCTAAAGCTGTCAGCTTTTGACCATACTTGGCATAAACTCAGCTTGGGGCAGACACATCATCACCCCTGTCTACAAGCTATAAAATCTCCATGCTTCAGTTCAGGTGTGCAGCTTCTCCAGCCTTGATCTCTGGGACTGAAGAATCTGCCTGGGAGTTGCTTTGTTCAAATAAACTTCTTGTTAAATCTTTCCAATTTGGCTTGATCTGACTGTGCCTTCCGAAAGGAGTAGACCAATTACTGTCCTCACAAAGTGACAGTTCTAACAGATTGTACCACCATCAAGGGCATTTAGAAGTAATGTCAGGGGTTTATTGGAATCACAAGAGCACAGAGACTAAGAAAGAGACAGTCAAGAGCTAAGGTCTGGAGAGAAAGAGCCGGGGGAGGGGCATCCACCCCCTCCAAGGACTGACAATGGTCAAGGATCTGAGGGCACTGAGTAGTGAGCCATGCAGAGTCCCAGGAGAGAGTCCATATAGGTGAATAGACAGGTTTGGGACAACAAGAGAAAGGAGGCCATGTTGTTTCCTCCACCTAGAACTCACTCTATAGGCCACACTCTTAGACTGAGTTCAGTGCACACTGTTCAGGATACAGGGCTCCATCTTTTCCCCCAAGAGGAAGGTCTCAGTTTTGATGGATTTCTCTCTTTATTTCTAGCCTCATGTTTAGCGGCTCCGATTCCTCCCACTCCCCTCCACCCCCAGAATATCTGCCTCCCATGCTGCTGTCCCATGTACCTGAAGGGGAAACGTTCCTTCCATGTGTCTTTACTCTGCCAGAGAATCACCAAGACTTATCCTAGCACAAAAGGGTCACTGTAGGCATGAGTCATAAAGTTGCGTGATGTGTAATAACCATCCATTTCTGTAGGCTGGGGCCTACACACAGGGACCCCTGCCATTCTAGAACAATACCCAGAAACACACTGGATTCCACACCCTATGAAGTTTAGGTACCTACATTAAAAATGAGCAAACATGTGTGTTCATTTGTACCAGACTTTTTCTTTGGGGCACAACCAGCTCCTAAATAATGATGCAGAGCTTTCTTATTGCTTATAAGTACTCGGCCTAGCCTCGGCTCATTTCTGACTAGTTCTTTTAACTTAAATTAACCTCTTTCTCTTTATTTACCTTTTGTCTTGGGGCTTTTTACTTTTTTCCTTCTGTAGATCTTAGTTTTACTGCTTTTTATGTCTGCCTAGCTGCTTGCCCCGGGTGTGTTCCCCGCTTTTTCCCTTATTCTCGTCTTCTCTTTTCTCTCTCTCAAGCCTGGATTTCTCTTCTACTTATTCTCTCTGCCTATCAGCTCTGCCTATCCTTTCTCTGCTTAGCTATTGGTCATTCTGCTCTTTATTAGACCAATCAGGTGCCTTAGGCAGGCAAAGTGAAACAAATACAACATATCTTTACAGAATTAAACACACATCCTTACAGCGTTAAACAAATGCATCAGAAGCAAATATAACACACTTTTACACAGCTAAAGTCATATTTCACACCATAAACAAATGTAACACATCTTTGCATAGTTAAATATTCCACAACATCCATCCATGTACATGGTAAGTGGTTCTCTGTGCTCTCTGGGTGCTGGGTGGTCCATTAACTCTAATTACACACTCGGTACAGTCAGGCCTGCCTTTCTTCTGTATTATGTCTCCATGTGTGTGTTGAGCATTTAGTGCAGGACACACACGGCAGTGACAAACTGCAGTAGATTTTTAACCCCTTGCCTGATTCCACCCTGCAGAAAGGAGGGGCTTTGGTAGGTAACTCAGCTCAAGGACACTGATTGAGCTTAAACTCTTGGAGTTTCGTCATGAACATGACCCTGAGAGAGTCTGGGCATCAGGTAGGGCCTGGCTGAGGAAAGCATAGCATCATCACAGAGGTGAGCAGCAGGAAGCCCTGACTGCATGTCTTGTTCCAGTCTTTAGCCCAGGTGACCCTGCTTAGATTTTCTCCAGGGCTGGAACCAGACTTGTTAGAGCTGGAAGTGAACAAGGCTCTATTTAGCGTTGACATCTTCGTAGCGTGTGGAACCAGCTACGCCCCGCCATGCCAGCCACAAATGGAATAAATCACCAAGGGATCTCCTCCTGAGATTCAACATGGTGATCATAGCTGGGCAGGTGCCCAGGCCATTAGTCAACTGTCCTGATGGGTTTGTGACACTTCATAGGAAGGTCAGGGCCCCCAAGTAGAGGGACAGAAGATACAGGTCCTCCTGGGAAGGCCTTGTCCTAGGAATTCATCACAAGAATTCATCACAGAAAGCAAATGGTAATAATTTCTGCCTATGTGGATAGCCCCTAGACATGAGCGACATGAGCTGCAGTTCCCCCTCTTACCACCAGGAGGCAGCATCAGAACACATCATTAATACTCAGAACACATACATTAATACAGTATTTGCCTAGGTCAGGAACTCACCTTGCAACTTAGCTTCCACTGGAGCCAGCTGACTAGGAACTCCCTCACAAGTCTGTGTGATCTCCTGGCCTTTTCCTGCACTTGAGCACTGGGTTGTTCCAGGGACCTGTGCAGTCCCCTCTAGGCTGGCATTTTCCATGGGGAGAGACAGGGTAACCACAGGGGGATCACCCAAAGAAGACAGGCTTCCTGGAGAGAGGGCATGGGTTGGCCAGATACACAGCTCAGCCAACATTGGGAGTTGCATTGGCTCCCTGTAAGTAAGGATGGAGCCATAGTAAGATGGGAGACAGTCCTCTCCCAGGTCACTCACCCCTCAACTAAAGTCCAGACACAGCTGTCCCTCAGCCTCTGTCCTGGACCAGAAGCCTGACTGGTGACTCCAGCGGCAATGGACCAGATCCCTTTCCTGGTCACCTCTCAAGTGGTCCCACGTTTTCCCATCATTCATCTCTGTCACTTTCCTGCTTCGAGTAAATGCCACCTTCCCAGAGCATTGAGGGCATAGTTCAGACTGAGTGCCTACATGGTTCTCTGTACTGTAGGGGCACATAGGGAGGACAGGGGCTCCCTCTTTGGGGCTGACAGAGGCAGGTCAGGACACAGACTTGTTCAGCTGCTGTTCTCTTGGGAAACAAGATGCTTATCTGCCTTGTTGCTCAATGTGTGGTCTCCAGGACTGAAACATAAGAGAGAGAAAAGGGGAGAGGGACAGGAGGCAGCTTGGGGCCTTGGGGTGGGGTGCAGGCCAGTGTCTTGGCCACAGATCCACCCATATGATTCTGAGAGATGCTCCTGCCTGGGATGAGGCTCAGCTCAGAGGCAGGAAGGACAGCAGGGCTGGGGCAGAAGCGCTCCTCCTCAAGAAGACAGAGCAGGCAGCAGCAGTTATGGAGGTACCTTCTTGTACCGTCCTTCAGAGGGCGCACCACCAGCTGGGTGTCCTGCGGGCAGGTGGGCAGGCCGTTCTTGGACCAGGCGCATAGGCCAGCGCTCAGAGCCTATAGGGGCTGGGCTATGCAGGCTCATATTCCTACATTGTCTGGCGGTGAGAGAAGTCTGAGCCACCTACAAGGCGCCATTTGCACCTGCCACACAGAAGGTGGTTGACTGACTTTTGACAGTAAAAACAACCTGATGCCATCCTAAAC